CCAAGCAGCGCAAAAAGTAATCCATCATAGCGGAAAACTTCCAATATATACATTGCTTGCGGTGTGATAAAAGCTTATGACAAAAATAGTATGACAATGTTAATTATTACAAAACGCAGGTATTTGTGACAACAGGTATTGCCTAAAAGACTGATGATAGAGGTAAAGCAGAATAAATGTTGGAATATTTGAGTTAAGAAATGATTATACAACGGATGATGCAATAATCTCAAATCAATAGAGAAAAAAAAATTAGCTTACATTTATAAATGATATTGTACCAGTAAATTTGATAAAAAATAATTTGATAATTGGAGCATGTTTGGATGATTCATCAATGATTCAATTTTTCATGGCTTGAGAATTATAATAAAATTCTTCTAATGCAATGATTCCTAATAATTCTTCGTAAATCATTAAATGAGGATGTGAAGAGAAGAGAAATTTCAGTTTTTGGAATTAATTTAAAAATTTTTTAAAAGAATTATTATTGTCAAATTTTTAAAATTTACTTCTTATAAAGAATTATAAATTATTATATTGCATCATTGAGTACCTTTTATATACAAATTAGAATGCACTTTCTATTTGTCATTTGCGTCTATTATATAGAAATTTCAATTGACATTCTCCAAAATCAGCTCCATTTAAGCGTAAATTATCCGAATTTTACATTATGCTCTAATTATCTGTTATATTTTTTTTGAAAAAGAGAGATTATTAAATTTAGAATTTCGAAAAAGAAAAAAATATATCATAATGAATTTGTCAAAAATGAAAATTAACGATTTAAAAGTCAATATTTGTTCATATTTGCTACAACTATTTGTATGTTTGCTTCTTTCTTTCTTTCTTTTTTTGCTTTTTTTTTGCGAATTTATTCTGTCTGCATTTGCATTTTTCCATATTAAATGCAAACTCAAAGTACAAATTCTTGATGAATCTGACTACTTTGCGAAAAATGTTTTCCATGTACATTTATCTGTTTGTACATGTATGTATGTGCATATATAT